TATTTATTTTTTAAAAGATTTTATTTATTTATTTGACAGAGAGAGAGCACAAGCAGGGGAAGTGGCAGGCAGAGGGAGAGGGAGAAGCAAGCTCCCCACAGAACAGGTGGAGCCTGATATGGGACTCGATCCCAGGAATCTGGGATCATGACCTGAGCTGAAGGCAGTTGCTTAACCAACTGAGCCACCCAGGCGCCCTATTTATTTATTTATTTATTTATTTATTTATTTATGGAGAGAGAGAGGGAGAACGAGCATGCAAGTGGGGAGAGGGGCAAAGGGAGACAGAGAGAATCTCAAGGAGACTCCGTGCTTAGCTTGGATCCTGATGTGGGGTTCGATCTAATGACCTTGAGATCATGACTGAAGCCAAAATTAAGAGTCAGTCACTGAACTGACTCAGCCACCCAGGCACCCCAGTGACAATATCCATTCTTATACACTTTCAACTACACCTACTTGTGGAAAAATTTAAATATGTAAAATAAACTTATTACCCTTCTAGATTTAAGTATCCGTTGACAGGAACACAGAGGAGAGAGTAGCATATTCAATGACACCGGGGGATGCAATGACAAAACCCAAAGAATAAAAAATTCTATGGGACAACTAACCTAGTTTATTTAATAAATAAGCTGCAAGAAAAAAAGATGGAGCACTAAATGATTTAAAGGACAGATTATTTGGAGGATACATCACTCAAACAAATAGGTATGGACGTTTTTTGGATCCTGAATTGAACAAATTATAAAAAATAATAAGAATACAGGGAATTTGATGCTAATGGACACCAAAAGAAAGCTGGGGGACAATCCTTATATCAGACAAATTAGATTTTAAACCAAAGACTATAAGAAGAGATGAGGAAGGACATTATGTCATACTTAAAGGGTCTATCCAACAAGATCTAACAATTGTAAATATCTATGCCCCTAACATGGGAGCAGCCAATTATATAAGACAATTAATAACAAAGGAAAAGAAACACATCAACAACAATACAATAATAATAGGGGACTTTAACATCCCCCTTGCTGAAATGGACAGATCATCTAAGCAAAAGTTCAACAAGGAAATAAAGACTTTAAATGACACACTGGACCAAATGGACTTCACAGATATATTCAGAACATTCCATCCCAAAGCAACAGAATACACATTCTTCTCTAGTGCCCATGGAACATTCTCCAGAATAGATCACATCCTAGGTCACAAATCAGGTCTCAACTGGTACCAAAAGATTGGGACCATTCCCTGCATATTTCAGGTCACAATGCTGTAAAACTAGAACTCAATCACAAGAGGAAAGTCGGAAAGAACTCAAATACATGGAGGCTAAAGAGCATCCTACTAAAGAATGAATGGGTCAACCAGGAAATTAAAGAAGAATTAAAAAAAACTCATGGAAACAAATGAAAA